GCACTATAAATAAATCAAGATGGAATCCTAAAAAAAAAAAAAAAAATTCAAGTAACCCAGGAAGTAAAGAAAAGAGAAACATGGAAACAAGAACCAGAAGAACAAACCGAAAACAAATAATAAAAATGGAAGACTTAAGCATTAGCATATATCATTAGTTATGTGAAACAGAAATGATCTAATTAAAACACAATTAAACCAATTAAATCAACCAATTAAATACACAGAGATTAGCAGAGTGAATTTAAAAATACAAGACAATTATATATTGTTTCACAGAAACTCACCGCAAATGTAATAACATAGGTAGATTGGCAATAAAAAGATTTTTAAAAAGGTATACCATGCAAACACTTGTCTTAAAGCAGGAGTAGCTACATTAATATCTGATAAAGTAGACATCAAAGCAAAGAAATTTACCAGAGATAGAGACATAGGATATTACATAAGGATAAAAAGGTCAATGAATCAGGAAGACATAATCTTCCTAAATAGGTGCACACCAACCACCGAGCCTCCAAATACATGAAGCAAAAAACTCTGAGCTGAAAGGAGAAATAAACAAATCCACAATTATAGTCTTCAACACCCCTCTCTCAGAAACTGATAGAACCACTTGGCAGAAAATCAGCAACAATATAGAGAGTCTGAATAACAAAACAACAGGGCCTAAATGACACGTACAGAACACAACGGCAAAATACCTGTTTTTTTCAAGTGCCCATGGAGCATTCACAAAGATACAGCATATCCCCAATCCATAGAACAAAGCTCAACAAATGTAAAAGTACTGAAATGATACATAGTGTGTTCTCTGACTATAACAGAAGGAAACCAGAAATCAACAATATAAAAACAAAAAAATATCTAAATATATGTAAATTAAACAATACACTTCTAAATGGCAGCTCACACCCGTAATCCCAGCACTTTGGGAGGCCGAGGTGGGTGGATCAGTTGAGGTCAGGAGTTCGAGGCCAGCCTGGCCAACATGGTGAAACCCCGTCTCTACTAAAAATACAAAAATTAGTCAGGTGTGGTGTGGGTGCCAGCCTGGACAACAGAGTGAGACTCAGTCTCAAAAAAAACAAACAAAAAAAAATCCATGGGTCAAAAAGGAGTTCTCAAAAGAAATTAAAAATGCATAAATCTAAATAAAAATTAAAACACAACACATCAAAATTTGTGGAATGCAGCTAAAGCAGTGCTGAAAAGGAAATTCATAGCACTAAATGGAAATAAGGAAAGGTCTGAAATCAATAATCAAAATTCCTTTCTCAAGAAACTAGAAAAAAAAAAAAGAGAAACTAGAAAGAGAAGAGAAAAAGAATAGCCAAAGCAATCCTAAGCAAAAAGAACAAAGCTAGAGACATCACATTACCTAACTTCAAATTATACTGTAAGGCAGCAGGTCCCCAACTTTTTGGCACCAGTGACTGGCTGTGTGGAAGACAAGTGGGTAGGGATGACTTCAGGATGATACTGTTCCACCTCAGATCATCAGGCATTAGTTGAATTCTCATAAGGAGTGTGCAGCCTAGATTCCTCTCATGTGCACTTCACGATAGGGTTTGCACTCCGGTGAGAATCTAATGTCCCTGCTGATTTGACAGGAGGTGGAGCTCAGGTGATAATGCTTGCCTGCCGCTCACCTCCTGCTGTGCAGCCTGATTCCTAACAGGCCATGGATGGATACCTGTCTACAGGTTGAGGATCCCTGCCGTAAGGCTATAGTAACCAAAACAGCACAATACTACTACAAAAATGGACACATAGACAAATAGAAGAGCGTAGAGAACCCAGAAATAAAGGCACACACCTACAGCCATCTAGTCTTTGACAAAGTTGATTTTTAAAAAGCAATGGGGAAAGGAGTATCTATTCAATAAATGGTGCTGAGATAGCTGGCTACCCATATGCCAAAGAATGAAACTGGACCCCTACTTTTTATCATACACAAAATTTACATATATATATACCATATGCAAAAATTAACTCAAGATGGATTAAAGATTTAAATGTCAGACCTCAAGCTATAAGAATCCTACAAAAATTATGAACATGGGCCTTGGGAAAGAATTTATAAGTCATCAAAAGCAATTATAACAAAAACAAAAAATTCACAAGTGGGACCCAATTAAACTAAGTAGCTTCTGCACAGCAAAAACAAACAAACAAACAAACAAACAAAACAACTATCAACAGAGTGAACAGATGACCTACAGAATGGAAGAAAATATTTGCAAATTATGCATCTGACAAAGGTCTAATATCCAGAATGTATAAGAAGTTTAAATTAACAAGCAAAAAACAAACAACCGCATTTTAAAAATGGGCAGTAGACATTAACAGACACTTCTTAAAAGAAGATACACAAGTAGCCAACAAACAGATGAAAACATACTCATCATCACTAATCATCAGAGAAATGCAAATCAAAACCACAATGAGATACTATCTCACACCAGAATGGCTACTACTGAAAAGCCGAAAAACAACAGATGATGGCAAGGTTGCAGAGATAAGGAAACACTTATACAGTGTTGTGGGGAATGTAAATTAGTTCAGCCACTGTGGAAAGTAGTTTGGAGATTTCTCAGAAAAACTCAAAACGGAACTACCATTTGACCCAGAAATCCCATTACAGGGTATATATCCAAAAGAAAACAAATTGTTCTACCAAAAATACACATGCACTCATGTGTTCACCGTAGCACTAGTTACAATAGCAGAGGCGTGGAATCAACCTAAGTGCCCATCAACAGTGGATTGGATAAAGAAAAGGTGGTGCATATACACCATGGAATACTATGGAGCCATGAAGAAAGAACAAAATCATGTTCTTTGAAGCAACATGGATGCAGCTAGAGGCCACTGTATGAAGCAAATTAACACAGGAATAGAAACCTAAATACTGTGTGTTCTCATTTGTAAGAGGGAACTAAATATTGGGTACTCATGGAGATAAAGATGGCAACAATAGACACTGGGGACTACTAGAGGGGGGAAAACAGAGGAGGGCAAGGGTTGGATAACTAACTGTTGGGTGTTATTCTCAGTGCTTGGATGATGGGATCATTTGTACCCCAAACCTCAGAATCATGCAATATACCCGGATAACCAACTTGCATATCGACCTCCTGAATCTACAATAAAAGTTGAAAAGGACAAAAAAAATAATAAAAACAGGAGTAGAGATCAATAAATTTGAAAATAGGAAAATACAGAAAATAATTAAAATGAAAAACTGGTTCTTCAAAAAAATCAATAAAATTCACAAATCTTTCGCAAGACTGACAAAACAAAAATGGAGAAGACACAAGTCACCAATCTTAGGAAGGAAACAGGATATCACTACAGATCTCACTGCCATTTAAAAAGTTATCAAGAAAATATGACAAACAATTTTATACTCGTACGTTAGACAAATGAGAAAAAGAAAAAAAGAAGCAGTTCCTCAAAATTTGCAAATTACCACAACTCCAAGAAGAAATAGATAATCTGAATAGTCCTTTAACCATTAATGAAATTGAAGTTACCATACAAAATTTCCTGGAAAAAAATATGCAGTTCCAGATGCTTTTACTGGAGAATTCTACCAAACATTTAAAGAAGTCTAATGTCTTTTTTTTTTTTTTTTCCTCCTGAGGCAGAGTCTCATTCTTTTCCCCAGGCTGGAGTGCAGTGGCATGATCTCGGCTCACTGCAACCTCTGCCTCCCAGGCTCAGGGTGTTCTCCTGCCTCAGCCTCCCTAGTAGCTAGGATTACAGGCATGTGCCACCATGCCCAGCTAATTTTTTGTTGTTTTTTTTTTTTTTTTGTAGAGACGGGTTTTGCCACATTGGCCAAGCTATTCTTAAACTCCTGACCTCAAGTAATTCACCCATCTCAGCCTCCCAAAGTGCTGGGATTACAAGCAGGAGCCACTGCACCCAGCCTAATGTCAATTTTATACCTCTCTTTCAGAAAATAGAAGTAAAGGGAACACTTTCTAACTAATTTGGTGAGGCTAGTATTGTGTTGATACTAAAAACAAACAAAAGTAGCGAAAAAAAAAAAAAAGAAAAGAAAACTACACACCAATATCTCTCGTAAATTCAGATACAAATGTTTTCAGTCTCAAACACAGCAAACGGAATCCAAAAATGCATACACATAGACCCTGAACATAGAGGTCTGGTCACACTATGTATCTATTCAAAAGGTTTAAATAAGTCAGTGATACAGTCAGTAGGGGGTCTAGTAAAAACATGGCGGATCATGAGGTCAGGAGATCGAGACCATCCTGGCTAACACGGTGAAACCCCATCTCTACTAAAAAATACAAAAAACTAGCCGGGCGAGGTGGCGGGCGCCTGTAGTCCCAGCTACTCGGGAGGCTGAGGCAGGAGAATGGCGGGAACCCGGGAGGCGGAGCTTGCAGTG